CTGTTCATGCCTTTAACAAACGCTCCTCCCTGTGATGTGTGCTGTGCGATTTTACAGACAAGACTCCAGTTTCAAAATAAAAACTTCAACGGCTTCTTCTTCTTCTGCACAGGACTTTACTGCAGTGATACTTTACAGCAGAGTCATTTCATTCATTACAAAACATGTTTTCATTCACTTTACAGCATCTGTTGTAGTCCCTGACATATATCAACCTTTTCTGTCTTTTAGGAACGAGGTTGAGGACTCAGTGCTGGACTAGGTCACTGGTATAAAATAACCTGTCATGGAAACCTTTTAAAACCAACGTAATCTGGTAATTATAGTACTCAAACACAGGCTGAACAGCCATCCAACGTGCTTTATGTAAAACATTCAAAAGAAAAGAATGAAAGAAGAGAAAAGCCAACGAAATGCTAATTAAAATAAATGTATATCAGCACCATTATATCCAAAGCCCAGGAACTTACATACAAAAAGCAATATTATTCATCACTACATTGTTGAGTATACCAGTAAACAAATCTATAAATGTGTCTTTAAGAAGCAACACTATAAACAAATAATCCACATTTTAACAGTGAACTCTTCCAGTTCATGTTCTCACTTCTTATGACACACTGAGTGAAAGAATAACACAAAAGAGAAAGTAATGAACAATCACATCCAGATGAAAACAAGTTTACACCAAACATTACCACTCAATATGTACATTTGTTACCATAAATGATAATACATCTTCATCCACCTGTTATTGTTTGTTTAGTTCTTGTGTCTTTAATTGAATCACATCCTCGTGATGACTGTATGAAAACTTTGTCTGCTATATATTTACCTTGTGGACATGATATATGGAAAGATTCATTCAATATGTGGATGTTTCACTGGCAACGCTTCATTGCTCAATTAGTTGCCGATCATAAAAAAAGATCAGACAGTTTGATTGACAGGACAGATGATCAGAGGGGCGTTGTTTTGACCACCATCATTCCTACAGGGACTGAAGAATGGGAGGAGTTTCTCTTTGAAGGAGCAGCCAGTGAAGGAGTAGATAAGAGCTGCAGCATCTACGTCATAGAAGGAGACCAGACCCTCCTCATAATCCACAAACACCCCCACCTTCTGAGGCCGAGACTTCAGAGAGAGAAGAACTGACGGGTGAGCAAGAGCTTTGTACTCATTTCCATTCCTCAACCATATGGTCCAGTAACCATCTTCAGGTATCATTGTGATTAGGCCCTTCCTGTGGACCGACTTGCTGACCACTCCTAAATTCCATTTAGCCTTCCCTTTAACCTGAACCTCAAAGTAGAATCGGCCTGAGGAGACACTCTGCCTTCCTAAGGCAAAATTATAATGAGAAAATCTCTCTGGGATGTCGGGGAGATTCTTCTTCACATTACCATGTTTCACTTGTTTCCCATCGGCAGACAGGAGGAGTTCAGGATGAGCTGTATCAGGATCAAGAGTCACATCCACTGCAAACTTCTGGATCCTCTTCAGCTCAGCCTCATCGAACAGCTTCTTCATCTCTCTACTGAGCGTCTCCTCCAGCTGATGCAAAGCTCCCACCACGGTCCCCTCATATGACGGTGGATGGACGCTGACCTCTGTCCAGTCCTTGGTGGGTGGAGCAGCTATCAGGTACGGGAAGCTTTGAAGGAGGTGAACGTGGTCTTCAGAGAGTGAGACCTGAACCATCTCAGCGCTTCTCTTCTTCAGCTCAGAGATTTCCCGTTCCAGCTCTTTGATGAAAGCTTCGGCCTGTTTCTGTGTCGTTTTCTGCTTCTCTTCTATCGTTTTGATGAGCTCGTTCAGGCCTCTATCAATAGACTTCTTCAGAGAAGTGAAGACCCGAACACTTTCTGCTACCTCCATGTGGGCATTTTCCTTAATACGCTTCACTGAGTTTTTAAACACCTGAGTCTTCAGTTGTCTCTTCTGGATCATCTGCTGAATTTCAGCCTCTGTCTTCCTCAGCTCTGCCTTCTTTCCTTCATATTCTACTTTCAGAGGAACAAACCTGTGCATCTTGTGGTCTAAAGCAGGGCAGTGCGTGCAGACACACATCTGGTCGGTCTTACAGAACAGCTCCAGAGGTTTATCGTGCTTCGTACAGATCCTGTCTTCCAGGTTCTTCACAGGGTCGATCAGCTGATGTCTTTTCAGACGTGAAGCTATCAGATGAGGCTCCAGGTGAGTCTCACAGTAGGAGACAAGACACACCAGGCAGGACTTCAGGGCCTTCAGTTTGGTTCCAGTGCAGACGTCACAGGGAACTTCTCCAGGTTTGGACTCTTGTTGCTCTGAGCTGCTGGTTTTCTGTTGAGCTGACTGTCTGAACTGAACAACCATCTCAGAGATGAAAGTGTTGATCCTCAAATCCGGTCTTGTGTTGAAACCCTCTTTACACATGGGACATTGGCATCTGTCACTGGTATTCCAGTGTTCATTGATGCAGTTTTTGCAGAAGTTGTGTCCACATGGTGTGCTGACTGGATCAGTGAA